ACACAAACAGCGACTACAAAACAAAAACAAAACCGACCGAAAGTGTATCTTTGTATTTGCTTTGATGGCGGCGATATATCTGTGCTGTTGGCTGCCGTATTTCACACTCATGTTAATTATTAACATCAAGATTTATACCAAGTCCAACGATTTCGTAGGTATAGAGAAAGCTACGGATGCTTTCACAGTTATTAGATACTTAACATCGGTAACGAATCCATTACTCTACACTTTTTTCAAGCGCGACTTTTGGATAGCCTTGCATGGTGTTTCGGTAAGAAGAAACTCGACTTCCTCTGAAAATAGCTCACTGACGCAGAGAGCACAGTTTTCGTTGAGATACTTTTCAGTAAAACGCCAATCAAGATCGTTGGACAGCTCTAAGTCCGCTAACAACACCGAACTCTGCCACCTCCAGTCAACCACAGCCGGTGACAAAACATAAGATTAAGAAAGAGAGAAACATGACGACTTTTAAGTACATTGCTGCAACAAATGCCGCTTACATTATCGCCTCATGGTTCGGAGGAAACGCAGAAAACGTTTCCGGGGTTGCCACCTTGACGAGTACCAGAAAGACAAATAAAATAAAACCACCAGAGAAGTCTTCTTCGACAGTTTTGAATGAACACCTGATGGAGGTTTTTGTCATTATCAGATCATTTACTCGCTGATATAGTCGTGATAAGGGAGAATAAGGGAGCCAGAAAAACTTGCTTTATCAGAAACAGGAGCCAGGTCTTGTCTTATTGACGTATTACTGAGTCAGTTAGAATAGGAGGAACTTTGTTCAGTTACATTTTTTGCCTCATTTATGCATGCTTATCATTATTTGATTTAACAATTTAAATAACATGTTTGAATATCGAAAGAGCATAGCAATATTAGTGTTCCTTGGAAATTTGAGCTTGTTATACAAAATCACTCGGTTTTTGCCACGCAGGAACTCCGTGTTCCCTGCGCTGTTCAAGATCATTTCGGACGAGCATGGACATGAGTGTACAACCCAAAATTTGTCGCGTCTTGCTTTTGAGCATAACCATTGTTAACAAAAACATCGTCACTTAAAATGTGCTCATCTAGGTCCAGAGGGAACTAATCGCACGTGTTTAAAGAGCTAATTGGTGTGCAGGTTATTGTTTAATTAGTAGGTTCTTGCAGTTATTGAATATTAAATATTAGGTGCGTTAAGTTTTTGTTTAGTTTATATTCTTCTTGCTGAAGAATTTACCTGGTGACGGCTTATACAACTTCAATATAATTCAGCCATTGTGTGAATTAAAGTAACAAAGAAGTTTATGATTTTGTAATGTCACCACTTGTGAAGTGGTTTTTAAACGTTTAGGCTCAGTGCTGTACAGTCTCTGTGAAGCTGGTCGCTTACGAGAAGTGGTCAATACAATACAATACAATGTTCTTTATTTTGAGAGGGTAGATACATGATTAACCCAGTAAAGAGTTTTCTAACACATGGCCCTCTGTAATACAGAAAGAAATATATACAAATAAATTTCAAAAATACACACATACAATAATTAATTGAATGTAACATTTAAAAAATTAAAATTTACACAATATAAAAGTTTAATTAGCATAGTTACAAACAATATATCGCAGCAAACTTGGACGATTAGGAGAAATAGCAATTGCAGGAAAACAGGAAACGGCATGCAAAACAGCAAAGTTCTTCGAGATGGGCAACGGAATTGAGTTTTTGAATGAAAAGTGCACGTAGCTTGCGCTTAAAAAAGCAGAGAAAGAAATCAGAGCATTAAGCGAGACTAGAGGAGTTCTTACAAGCTGTTTGATCTCAAGGGGTAGTGCATTAAAAAGAATAGCAGCTGTAAAGGAGAACATGCACTTGCCGGAGTTTGTTCGGGGCTGAGGGACCACTAAGTTTCCTGATGCGGCACCCCTGGTCATATGAGCACTGTTTGCAGATACAAAGGAGAATTTCTCTTTAAGACATAGAGGGGCTTCAGGATTAAGAAAAATAGAAGATAGCTGCTGGAGTTTTTTATACTTAATAATGTCACAAACAGGGATCCACTGGAGTCTAGAAAATAACGAGACGGATGGAGTAGAACAGTCGGCTTGAAGTATTATTCTGGCAGCACGTTTTTGAGCACAAAGGAGGCAGAGGAGAAGTGTTTGAGAGCAGGTACCCCAGACTAAAGCAGTAAACAAGCTGGCTATGAATGCAGGCATTATAATAGTGTAGGGACCCCACCTGGGTAAGATATGGTTGCATTCTGCGTAGCTGGCTGTTGAGTTTTTTACACAGGGTCTCGACGTGCCCTTCCCAGGAGAGGGTGTGGTCGAATGTTACTCCGAGTACTTTGGCCTCGGTAACCTGTTCTACCTTACTATCATTGACGGCTACATTAAGAGACTGAGATAATAAGGTATTACGTTTTTGCGGGGATGAAACAAGCATAGATTTAGTTTTGGTAGCATTTAGGGCCATGCGATTAATATTTGCCCAGGCCCACACTTCCGCCGCAAGCTGATTTAGGTTGCGTTCTACTAACTGTACGGAAGAGCCAGTAGTAAGGATCTTTATATCGTCGGCAAACATTGTAAGACTTACATTAGAGACGGAAGACAGGTAGAAGGGAAAATCGATTTTGGTTCGATTTTGGATCGAGTTAGCGAGGGTTCGAGTTATCGGGGGTCAACTGTATTCACCAACCTCCAAATTCTAAGTCATGTTTGTCGGCTGAAGTGTCACAGCCGTAGGCGGAATTCCCTTTCGTAAACAATCGTTGCCTTGTTTGAAGATCGGAGAAAATTTCTGACCTGTTACTGAAAGTGTTAGAATGACCCACCAATTTTCCGATACATTTACGAATACACTCTAATAAACTGCCTTCATATCTGATATATCATAACGGGACCCAAGACTTGAACTTAAACTTCGTTCTCTCTAAAACTACAAAAAATGTATTTTTTTTCTTATTATAATTGTAACCTAATCCAGGGAATATATGAGATTTACGAACAACTGCCATACTAGGCCTCAGTTTATTTTTAGACACATTTTAGGGAACTTTTTCCCGCGAAAATAGAATCTCCGCCACATCTATGAGCGCATTTCAAGGATAAGATATCAAAAAGGAAAACCCAACGTCACCTGTTTCTAACAGTAAATTGATGGAGGTTGAAAACTAATAGGCTCTACGCAGTCTTATTTAGGGGAAGGAGGAAATACGACTCACCTAACGCCTACGTGGGAGGAAAGGATTGAGTAGCCGGACTGTGGCAACAATCCCTTTATCGAAAATTGATGCTAACGATTAAGGAAAGTTTGTTAATTTGCGCGGCTTACTTACGTCAAGCTGTTGCGCTGCGACGCGGTCCAATGAAGAACATATTTTCTCCCATCTAGCCGTCATTATATAAAGTCGTAATGTCGTCACGAAATCAAATTTAGTTTATGAAATCTCTAGTGGATCAAGTTAGAAAAAGGTTAAATATCTTTGTTCTGCGGAAAACCTCATGACTATAAAAGAAAAGAAAAGAAAAGAGGAAAAAGTAGAAGAAAAAGAAGAAAAAACAGAGTAGAGCGATTTGTACGTGCACGGACTTATTAAATGGGTGCCGCCGCTTGAAATCTGATAAACCACTTTTAATCATAATTATATATCGGGATATGTAAAGCAGCTAAAAAATACTGAATCGGATTATCTTACATTCAGGTAGTGATAAATATTCTATGACATGACCACATTAATTTGCTGTTTTTTTTTCTTTTCAGAAAATGTAAAATGCTTGATATGTTATGTTACCGATTATGTTGTTGACCACATAACTGTCTTCTGATTGAACATTTTGGTGGACCTTCGTTAGAAGTTCATCGAAAAAGTTTGAAAACAGGTACATTTTGTTTAAAAAGGGTTTTTGGGGATGGTAGGCAAGGGTTTTAATCGGCACAAATTTTGGGATGAGTTAAAATTGCCATGGATTACTTCTAATAGTTTTTTTTACCGATGTGATGGTAGTCGTTTGTGTTAAAATCAAGCACCACACAGAAAATCCACAGAGCAAACAAAAACATAGCTGAATAATTGTTATTGAACAAACCGAAAGATTCAGCAAACAATCAAGACCGACTAATTCTATTGAAAAGTCGTCATATCTGCCATCTACGTGGTAGTTTTCGCCTGACATGCAGTTATAGGACGAAGCATTGGACATCAGTTACTGTGGGGGAAGCATAGGATATTAGGCGGGTATAGCGTAAAATCATACCACTAGAAGAATAAAACGAATACCACAACTTGCACACAGTTACGTCTACAGCTGAGACACAATTGCAACTTATACAATTCTGACGAATGATAAAGCAACATTGAATGCAACTTTTACAAACTTCAAATACAAGGTTAACTTTAATTCGCAATTCAGTTTCAAATTCGTAATTTTTGGCATTTTATTAAATGCCTTTGTTGTTAGTAATGCCTTCCTCAAACACAGTTTTATTGCAGTTTTCCACAACTTCCGTAGTTGCCTTTCTTCAACTGAGTGATTCATCCGTTTTATTCATTTCATACAGATCCTTCAATTTGCATATATTTTGCATATTTCAGGGAAAAGTGTATAATTTCGCACTTGTCTTTATTCAAGGCTTTTCTAAAATTTTTAATCTCTTTTAATAGTCGAATTTTCAACGCCAAGACAGGTCTTTCAAATTTAGAAGTTTATTATCTTGTCACCAATTTGTACCAGAATTACATGATGCTTTGAGGCGGCACACCTGCTGGCATTTCTCTCAATTACAAGTATTTAAACCCGACTAATTACATGAATATTTTTATCGCTAGCACTCTTCCGTGCTTTCCCAGTTTGCGTAACAATTTAAAATTCAACTTAATTTGCTTCTTTGATTTTGATTTCAGGAGTTGAGTAGGATTGAAAATTGAAACCCGTCAAACATGAACAATAGCTCAAGTGCAGCTATCAAAGTTCAAAATCAGCAGGAAAATCAAGGATTGAGACAGATGATCAAGGCTCTTCCTATCGCCATAGCAATAATTGTTACAAACGGACTCGTGTTTTTCTTGTTTTATAAACGAAAGAGCCTGCGCATCAAGTCTAATTACCTTCTGCTTGGGCTAGCGGTCTGCGACTTTCTGACAGGCGCGGTAAACATTCCGTACTTCATTATTTTCTCTTTCAATGTGGTACCTTCTCGGATGTTTGATCAGTTTGCCTTTTGGATGTACGCCCTTCACACCCTTACGGCTGTTTCGGCAGCTTATCACATTCTTGTCATAACTGCAGAAAAGTTTCTAGCAATTGCTCAGCCACTGAGACATCATATAGTCACCAAAAAGGCAGTGTTCAAAGTATTAGCGGGAATTTGGTTCATATCAGCTTTTATCGCTATAATACCGCTCTCTTGGCGGAATGCCAAATCAAAAAGCCTTGCTCTTATCATTCATTCTTCCTTTTGCCTCGCTCTCGTATTCTTGGTCCCGTATGTATTTATGGTGTACGCGTACACGGTGATGTTCAAAGCGGTCAGCGGTAGAAAGAGGCCATCACAACATGGACACAAACAGCGACTACAAAACAAAAACAAAACCGACCGAAAGTGTATCTTTGTATTTGCTTTGATGGCGGCGATATATCTGTGCTGTTGGCTGCCGTATTTCACACTCATGTTAATTATTAACATCAAGTTTTACACCAAGTCCAACGCTTTCGTAGCTATTGAGAAAGCTACGGATGCTTTCGCAGTTATTAGATACATAACATCGGCAACGAATCCATTACTCTACACTTTTTTCAAGCGCGACTTTTGGATAGCCTTGCATGGTGTTTCGGTAAGAAGAAACTCGACTTCCTCTGAAAATAGCTCACTGACGCAGAGAGCACAGTTTTCGTTGAGATACTTTTCAGTAAAACGCCAATCAAGATCGTTGGACAGCTCTAAGTCCGCTAACAACACCGAACTCTCCCACCTCTAGTCAACCACAGCCGGTGACAAAACATAAGATTAAGAAAGAGAGAAACATGACGACTTTTAATTACATTGCTGCAGCAAATGCCGCTTACATTATGGCCTCGTGGTTCGGAGAAAACGCAGAAAACGTTTCCGGGGTTGCCACCTTGACGAGTACCAGAAAGACAGAAATAAAATAAAACCACCGGAGAAGCCTTCTTCGACAGTTTTGAATGAACCCCTGATGGAGCTTTTTGTCATCATCAGATCATTTACTCGCTGATATAGTCGTGATAAGGGAGAATAACGGAGCCAGAAAAACTTGCTTTATCAGAAACAGGAGCCAGTCTTGTCTTATTGACGTATTACTGAGTCAGTTAGAATAGGAGAAACTTTGTTCAGTTACATTTTTTGCTTCATTTATGCATGCTTATCATTCTCTGATTTAACTATTAAAATAATATCTCTGAATATCGAAAGAGCATAGCAATATTAGTAATCCCTGGAAATTTAAGCTTGATATACAAAATCACTCTTTTTTTGCCAAGCAGCAACTCCGTGTTCCCTGCGCTGTTCAAGGTCACTTCGGTCGCTCATGGACATGAGTGTACAACCCAAAATTTGTTGCGTCTTGCTTCTTATGAGCATAACCATTGGTAACAAAAATGTCGTCACTTAAAATGTGCTCATCATGGTCCAGAGGGAGCTAATCGTACGTCTTTAAAGAGCTAATTGGCGTGCAGGTTATTGTTTAATAAGTAGGTTCTAATAATAACCCAATCTTCATTTAAGTGTCAGAACAATCAGTAACATCAGTAACATTATTTTACAATTTTAAACTATATCGTATTGTTTACAAATTAAAAGCTAAATTTATGTCCACGATAGAAAACTATTTACAATTGTAAATAATTTAAAAGTGAGAAAAGGAAAATCAAGTATTACAAAGAAAAAAAAAACTATCAAAAATATGGGCCTAAAATTATGAGTGCAGATGTAGACCAGCTACAGCGAAAGTGAAGTCTTCTGAGACCTCACGTGATTTGAATGGATATCTAGAACCTCTGATTATTGAATATTAAATATTACGTTTTTTGTTTAGTTTATATTCTTCTTGCTGAAGAATTTGCCTGGTGACGGCTTATACAAGTTAAATATGATTCAGCCATTGTGTGAATTAAAGTAATAAAGAAGTTTACGATTTTGTAATGTCACCACTTGTGAAGTAGTTTTTAAACGTTTAGGCTCAGTGCTGTACAGTCTCTGTAAAGCTGGTAGCTTACGAGAAGTGGTCGCTATGAGAGAGTTGACTGTAGTAATAAAAAGCTGTTTCACATTCTTAGATTTGTGACAAAGAACCCCGGGGAGGGTACTCCCTTATGAGAGGCTAACGGGGATGTGCCGCTGGATGGGGTCGTATTTTCACGACTGGACTGACTATAATGGGGTCGCACTTTTAATAGAGTCACTAGAATGGGATCGCACATTTTCTGATTTTAAGGGTAAGACAGTTGTTCATATTAGCAGTTAGCAAACGTACTAGAATGTTTGTACTGTTGGTGTTTTTCATTCAATATAAGTTAGATACATAAATAGAAAGTGACTAAGTTGGGATCGCAAATATTAGATTTTTGCCGCAAAGTGACTGAGATGGGGTCTATACTTGGTCACAGAATAGACTATAATGGGGTGGGGGCTCTAAGAGGCCAGCGGCACATACCCAGCAAAAACTTGTCCAAGTATCCACTCGTAAACTATACAACACTTAAATGGGAAATTCAAAGTTCAATGTTTCGAACGCCAATAGACTGTTCTTTCGCCCCAATTTTTTTAATTAAGGGCTCAAAACATGGTTCGAGTTATCAAGGCTAAAATTATATAGAAATCATCTGAGGAGAAACAAAAACTACTTCGAGTAAGCGCGAGGTTAGAGTTATCGAGGGTTCAAGTTACCGACGGAAAATTACAGTAATATGTATGACGGAATTCCAGGGGAAATCGATTTTGGTTCGAGTTATTAGCGCGAGGTTCGAGTTAGCGAGGGTTCGAGTTATCGGGAGTCAACTGTATTCACCAACCTCCAAATTCTACGTCGTGTTTGTCGGCTGAAGTGTCACAGCCGTTGGCGGGATTCCCCTTCGTAAACAATCGTTGCCATGTTTGAAGATCGGAGAAAATTTTTGACCTGTTTAAGTGTTAAACTGACTCACCAATTTTCCGAAACATTTACCAATACACTCTTGACTAATAAACTGCCTTCATATCTGATATATCATAACGGGACCCAAGACTTGGGCTTAAATAAAGTTCGTTCTCTCTAAGAGTATAAAAAAAGTATTTTTTTTCTTATTATAATTGTAACCTAATCCAGGGAATACATGAGATTTACCAGCAACTGCCATACTAAGCCTCAGTTTATTTTTAGACACATTTTAGCGCACTTGTTCCCGCGAAAATAGAATCTCTGCCACATCTATGAGCGCAATCCAAGTATAAGATATCAAAAAGGAAACCCAACGTCACGTTTTTCTACAAGTAAATTGATGGAGGTTGAAATTTAATAGGCTCTACGCAGTCGTATTTGGGGGAAGGAGGAAATACGACTCCCCTAACGCCTGCGTGAGAGGCAAGGAAACAGTCAGGCTGACTGCGGCAAAAAAATGAATCCCTTTACCGAAAATTAAAGTTAACGATTAAGGAAAGTTTGTTTGCACGGCTTACTTACGTCAAGCTTTTTTGGGAACACAAGTAGTTGCTAATACGTTAGCTCGCATACGCGTTGATACAAACGGTCACAACTTTTGATATACTGAAATTGCACATAGGGTTTTGTATATTGTTAATAACAGATGGTCTATCTTTGCGTCTATTTTGTCTGGAGCTTTCAATTATCTCCCAAACGTCAGAAATAAGCTTTTAAAACAGGGTCATTTTTGGCTTTTCGCTCCAAGGCAATTAGTCGGGGTCATATTTTGCTTGATTTCGTCTTTCGAGCTAAAGTTAGCGGGTAACTATTACTTACAGGAAGAACTAGAGATGTTTACCTATAAATAGGTATAAAATTCATTGGTACTATGGTGCAAATCAAACATTCACAGCATCGCAAAAAATGCCAAATTTTCAGTTCTCAAGACGTGCAAAATGTCCGTGGCCGGCGGAACAAAATACTCGGCGCCCCCTCATCGTGGCCAGAAAATTATTGTTAATCAAAGCAAACCTATTTTAGCTATAGTCTCGATAAAGCCTATCACTCGCCAGACTTTCAGGCAAAATTATTTTTCTCGCGGAATTGAGTGGGCGTTGTTTACTAAGACAGCCTCTTAAAAGTTGAAAACATGTTCCGTGTTGCGCTGCGACGCCGCGTTACAAAAAGGTTAGATATCTTTGTTGTAGGGAAACCGTATGTCTATAAAAGAAAAGAAAAGAAAAAGAGGAAAAAGTAGAAGAAAAAGAAGAAAGAAGAGAGTAGAGCGATTTGTACGTGCACGGTCTAAATGGGTGCCGCCGCTTCGCCGCCGCTTGAAATTTCATTAACGACATCCACGGTGATAAACAACATTTTTAAAATCATAATTATATGTCGGGTAATATAAACAGCCATAAAATACTGAATCGGATTATCTTACACTCAGTGATAAATATTCTATGACATGACCACATTAATTTTGCTTTTTCAGAAAATGTAAAATGCTTGATGTTATGTTACCGATTATGTTGTTAACCACATAACTGGCTACTGATTGAACATTTTGGGCGACTGTCGTCAGAAGTTCATCGAAAAAGTTTGAAAACAGGTACATTTTGTTTAAAAAGCTAAGGTTTTTGGGGGATGATAGGCAAGGGTTTTTATCGGCACAATTTTTCGGATGAGTTAAAATTGCCATGGATTACTTTCAATAGTTCTTTTTTTACCGATGTGATGGTAGTTGTTTGTGTTAAAATTAAGCACCACACACAAAATCCACAGAGCAAAACAAAAACCAAAGCTCACTGAACAAACCGAAAAAATTAGCAAACAATTAAGACCGACTGATTCTATTGAATCATCATATCTGCATTGTACGCGATTTTCTTCTGGCATGCAATTATAGGATGAAGCATAGGACATTAGACGGGTAGAGCGTAAAATCATACTATTAGGGACTTGTCAGAAATTAGCAGTCGGGGGGCGGAGGGGGGGGGAATTTTAAATTTGGGTTCGGAAATGAGGTGACCCATCCCTGCAATGGGACTGAAATTTTCTAACCTTGGCCTAAAATATCATGACCCTCGCCCTCTTGTATAAATGATAAAATCTAGTTCTTACAGTACACTAGGGTGAGTTAGTATTATGAAAACTCAAAATCAATTATATTTCTAATCCGTTCTTTGAAATGCCATATACATACATATATTTTAGATGACAGCATTAAGCTGAGTCCGACTCTGATTCTGACAGCTGATCACTCGACTCTCCTATTTCTCCCAGGTTTTTTTTACAAAATAAAGAACTTCTTTTTTCTTCTGTGGGTGAACCTCTACATGATCACAGACACATATTTGCATGACCCTCCCCCTTTTAACGGCCCATTTTTCATGACCCCTCCCTTTTCTGCAGTCTCAAAACGTTGTGACCTTCCCTCTGTTTTCACCCCCCCTCCTCCCCTGCTAATTTCTGAAAAATCCCTTTCGAAGAATCATACGAATACCACAACCATAGTTAATTGAGTGGAATGGTTATGAAACCCGCCAGACTCCTTTGTTATATGTTTTTGTGGACCTGAAAGTGCACAACGTTCAAAAGAATTCCTATCATTTTGATTGTATTGACCAATAAAAACGTTGCATTAATTTATTCCGTAACAATTTGCCAACAGAAAACAAAGGATTGTGCTCTTTCACGGTGCTTTGAACATAAACTGCAGCACTGTTGTTTTTATCATTGATGTTTGCCGCTTTTCATAACCAGTCTCCTCTAATAACTATGCCACAACTTGCACACAATTACGTCTACGGGTGAGACACAGTTGCAACTTGTACAATTCTGATGATTGATAAAGCAACATTGAATGCAACTTTTATAAACTTCAAAAACAAGGTTAACTTTAATTTGCAATTCAGTCCCAAATTCGTAATTTTTGCCATTTTATTAAACGCCTTTGTTGTTAGTAATGCCTTCCTCAAACACAGTTTTATTGCAGTTTTCCACAACTTCCGTAGTTCCCTTTCTTCAACTGAGTGATTCATCCGTTTTATTCATCTCATACGGATCCTTCAATTTGCATATATTTTGCATATTTCAGGGAAAAGTGTATAATTTCGCACTTGTCTTTAGTCAAGGCTTTTCCAAAACTTTTAATCTCTTTTAACGGTCGAATTTTCAACGCCAAGACAGGTTTATGAAATGTGGAAGTTTTTTTTTATCTTGTCGCCAATTTGTACTAGAATTACGTGATGCTTTGAAGTCACACCTGCTCGCATTTCTCTCCATCACAGTATTCAAACACGGCTGATTACATGAATATTTTTATCGTTAGCACTCTTCCGTGCTTTCCCAGTTTGCGTAACAATTTAAAATTCAACTTAATTTGCTTCTTTGATTTTGATTTCAGGAGTTGAGTAGGATTGAAAATTGAAACCCGTCAAACATGAACAACAGCTCAAGTGCGGCTATCAAAGTTCAAAATCAGCAGGAAAATCAAGGATTGAGACAGATGATCAAGGCTCTTCCTATCGCCATAGCAATAATTGTTACAAACGGACTCGTTTTTTTCTTGTTTTATAAACGAAAGAGCCTGCGCATCAAGTCTAATTACCTTCTGCTTGGGCTAGCGGTCTGCGACTTTCTGACAGGCGCAGTAAACATTCCGTACTTCATTATTTTCTCTTTCAATGTGGTACCTTCTCGGATGTTTGATCAGTTTGCCTTTTGGATGTACGCCCTTCACACCCTGACGGCTGTTTCGGCAGCTTATCACATTCTTGCCATAACTGCAGAAAAGTTTCTGGCAATTGCTCAGCCACTGAGACATCATATAGTCACCAAAAAGGCAGTGTTCAAAGTATTAGCGGGAATTTGGTTCATATCAGCTTTTATCGCTATAATACCGCTCTCTTGGCGGAATGCCAAATCAAAAAGAATTGCTTTTATCATTCATTCTTCCTTTTGCCTCGCTCTCGTATTCTTGGTCCCGTATGTATTTATGGTGTACGCGTACACGGTGATGTTCAAAGCGGTCAGCGGTAGAAAGAGGCCATCACAACATGGACACAGACAGCGACTACAAAACAAAAACAAAACCGACCGAAAGTGTATCTTTGTATTTGTTTTGATGGCGGCGATATATCTGTGCTGTTGGCTGCCGTATTTCACACTCATGTTAATTATTAACATCAAGACTTATAGCAAGTCCAACGATTTAGTAGCCATAGAGAAAGCTACGGATGGTTTCGCAGTTATGAGATACATAACGTCGGCAACGAATCCATTACTCTACACCTTTTTCAAGCGCGACTTTTGGATAGCCTTGCATGGTGTTTCGGTGAGGAGAAACTCGACTTTCTCTGAAAATAGCACACTGACGAAGAGAGTACAGTTTTCGTTGAGATGCCTTTCAGTAAAACGCCAATCAAGATCGTTGGACAGCTCTAAGCCCGCTGAACAACACCGAACTCTGCCACCTCTAGTCAACCACAGCCGGTGACAAAACATAAGATTAAGAAAGAGAGAAACATGACGACTTTTAAGTACATTGCTGCAGCAAATGCCGCTTATATTTTCGCCTCGTGGTTCGAAGGAAACGCACAAAACGTTTCCGGGGTTGCTACCTTGACGAGTACCAGAAATACAGAAATAAAATAAAACCACCGGAGAAGCCTTCTTAGACAGTTTTGAATGAACACCTGATGGAGGTTTTTGTCATTATCAGATCATTTACTCGCTGATATAGTCGTGATAAGGGAGAATAACGGAGCCAGAAAAACTTGCTTTATCAGAAACAGGAGCCAATCTGTGAGTTCCACAAATTGAACCCTGATTAAAGCACTTTATTCCCTGAATACTGCTTCCTGTACTCGCTCCAAAATGTCACTTTAAATATACAGTGTACGTGTCCTTATACTTGTACTTGTACTTGTACGTTGAAGAACTGTTTGCTCTTACAGAAAAACAACAACAAAAAATGGCGCCTAGCTATACCATGTGCTCTCCGGTCACATGATAGTCATGTGACCGGAAGTCCGAACCAAAACGCAGAAATGGAAATAAAATACAAAAAAAAGGAAAAATGAAACAAATAGAATAAAATAAACTGACGACGGTCGGTAGTTACACCGGCCCCTAAATGAGAATGCACCGACAGCAATCTCATTTACGAACATAAGCTACCGACTACAACTAAACACAACGTTATAAAGGAATGATTAGAATCACTGTTCATGACTATCAAAGCCAATGTTCATATCAACGTTCATTAAATCATCTCCTTGCACTGCTGCAAAGTCACTTAAACTGGTCCTACTCTATCGGCCACTCCATCCATCTCCAGAAAACATAACTTTGTAACTGGGCGTGTAAGTATGGTGGTACTGGCTGCGGTCACAGGTTCTCTTCTGTACCGTCGTTTGGCACATGTTGCTACTGTTGCACTTGTCTTCACCTTCGCTGCGCGCACCCACCCATCGCGGCTCGCAATAACTTCCACAACTCTTCCAAGCGGCCACTTCCCTCTGGAAAAGGTTTCGTCTGCTACAAGCACCAAGTCATCAATTTGTAAATTCCTTTTTGGCTCAGTCCACTTCTTCCTGTCTAACAGAGTGGGCAGGTACTCCCTCGTCCACCTACGCCAGAACAAATTTGCAAGATACTGCGCTTGCCTCCAAGCACGTCTGCAGGTGAGGTCGTCCTTGTCGAAGACCCCTGGAGGTACACTTGGGCACGGGCGCAGATGCAACAAATGATTAGGGGTTAATGGTTGCTCGTCTAAAGGACTGTCGCTATTTCTTGAGAGGGGTCTGGAATTGAGAATATTCGTCACCTCTGCCAAAACGGTTGAGAGGACCTCATCGGAGACTACCTGCTCCTTCAACATCGCTCGCAAGATCTGGCGCACAGAACGTATCATCCTCTCCCAGATGCCGCCCATGTGGCTCGCCGCTGGTGGATTGAAAATCCATTCTATCATCTTCTGTCCACAAAAACTGTTGATCTTCTGCTGATTCCATCCCTCTATGGCTTCCTTTAACTCCCTTTCTGCGCTAGTAAAGTTTGTACCTCGATCACTTCTTATCTGCTCAGGACAACCACGAATACTGATGAATCTTCTGAGTGCATTTATCATTGAGTCAGTGTCCAAGGAATGGGCCACTTCTATATGGACCGCTCGCATTGTCAAACACGTAAATAGGCATCCATACCTTTTCACATGGGATCTGCCCTGCTTTACTTCAATCGGCCCGAAATAATCGACACCAACAAATGTGAATGGTGGCTTGTCAGGGGTTAGCCTCTCTTCAGGTAAATTTGCCATAAACTGCTCTCCCGGGCGTGTGTTTCTTCGCTGACAGTCTATACATCTCCTTAACACTCGTCGCACTGCTGACCTTCCTTTGACCACCCAGAATGTTTCTCTTAAAGAAGACAAAACACATTCTTGACCCATGTGACCCAAACTCTCATGATACTGCTTGATAATCAGATCCGTCACATGATGCTTGTAGGGAAGGATAATAGGGTGTTTCTTCTCATAAGGAACCGGGGCAAGTGCTAGTCGGCCACGAACCCTCAGCAAACCATCCTCTAAGCGTGGGTTGAGCTGATGCAACGCCGTTCCTGCCTTTCGAAGGACCCTTTTAACACAACCATCTGCATCGCAACTTCCTGCTGATGAGAGAACCTCGATGACTTGAGGGAAAGACACTTGCTGTACTTCCTTGAGGATTTCCTTCTCAGCCTCCTGAAGCTCTGCCACCTTCAAGTAGCCATATTTCACGAATGGCACTTCGCCGCTCTGGACTTGGGATTCACTCGAAACTAAAGCGCTCCTCTTACTCAGCTGAACTTTCCGTAAAAGGTACGCCTTGTACCGCAACAACCAGGCTACAGCCCTTTTCAACTTCCACCAAGACGAGTAGCGTGCTATTAAGGGCTCCAGGTATTTACTTTGAACAACAACGGTGTAAATCTGAGCCTCCTTCCTGACTTCAGGGTCGTCATCTTTCAATGCTGGAATTTCAACCATCCTTGGCCAAAGGCTCTCATTTCCCCAAAGAAACTCCGGACCTCTCAACCAACGATCATTTTTTAACATGTCATCCAATTTAAGTCCCTTTGAGCCATCATCTGCAGGATTATTATCTCTGTTTACATAATGCCACTCGGAGTGGGAAGATCCATTATGTATCACCGTCAAACGATTGGATTCGAACGTGTGGAATCTTTTTGATTCGTTGCTGATACACTTCAACACTGACATTGAATCGGTCCAGTAGAACACTTTCTGGAAGTTCATATCCAATTCTTCACGGATAATCTTAGAGAGTTTCACGGAGATGACTGCAGCTGTCAATTCCAACTTTGGAATTGAAATCTCGCGCACTGGGGCTAACCTCGCCTTTCCCATTACGAATGCACAATGAATTCGACTGTTCTCGTCCTTCACACGGAGGTATGCAACCGATGCGTATCCTTGACGAGATGCGTCTGAGAAAAGGTGTAACTGTACTTCTCTTACTTCGCCAAACTCTCTGGGTCTGAAACAACGATCTACTTGCACTTCCTGTAACTTGGGAAGATCATCCAGCCATCGCCTCCACTGGATTTTCTCAGCCTCCCCAATGAGATCATCCCAACCAACGTTCTTTCTACTAAGGGCTTGCAACAACAGTTTGGCTTTCATGATGTATGGTGCAATAAAACCCAGGGGATCAAAGAGAGAATAAACGGCTGACACTATTCCTCTGCGTGTCATTGGCCGCTGATCAGCAACTTGAAGGATCTTCTCCAAGACCTCCCACACAAATTTGTCTTCCTCTGTGTTCCATTTGAGACCTAGAGCAGATTCGGTCGGCAGTTTCTCCAAGTCCAAGTTTGCAAATGACTTGGCCCTTTCAGATTCTGGAATCGCTGCTAGCACATCTCTGTCATTGCTATACCACTTTGTCAAATGGAAACCACCTCTTCTTAGTAGCTCCTGGAGTTGACTCACCAGCACAACTGCCTTCTCGGTAGTGTTTGTTGACTTCATCATGTCGTCCACATACATGTTACGCTTCACAGTTTCCACTGTCTGTTCCTCGAACCCTTCTCCATGTAACTCGGCGGTTTTTTCAAACAGAAATTAGCAATACTCGGGAAGATGTGGCTCCAAATAGGTGCTTCACCATTCTATATTCTTCCAATTCTCGAGACAAGTCTCCATTGGGCCACCACAAAAATCTAAGTGCATCACAGTCCTTAGGTTCCACCAACACCTGATGGAACATCGCTTCAATGTCAGCTACCACTCCAATGGGCTCTTGTCTAAACCGACTAAGGACACCCACTAATTGATTTGTTTGATCAGGTCCCTGTAAAAGTTGTTGATTCAATGACGTCCCTCCGTACTTGGCAGCACAATCATAAACTACTCTCACTTTGCCGGGTTTTAAGGGGTGAGTAACGGGATGATGAGGTAGGTACCACACCGGTCTGTCCTTTATCTCTAACTCTTCATCGGGGACCTTTTCAGCGTGGCCACTTTCAATGTAATCAGCCATTGTTGTCTTGTATTTCTCCAACAAGGCTTCGTCTTTCAGGAGTCGTTTCTTTAGAAGCAAACCTCTTCGCTCTGCAACTACCCTGTTGTTAGGTAAAAATGGTGGCTCATGTCGCCAAGGCAGGGCAACCTGAAAGTGTCCATCTACCATCTTAAGAGTTCTCTCCATTATTTCTAGGGCCCTTTTGTCTTCCAACGATGCACAAACTCGCGTCTCGACTTCACAGTTTTCAAAATCTGTTCTCCACAGTCGCTCCAACTGCTGACTAAGCTCATCGTCCCGAGCTTGACGATCAATTTCATCTATCTGTAAACGATGCTTGGGTTCACTGCCATTACATTCTAATTCAAGGACACAGTTCATGTCTGCAACATTCTCTTCATAGGCATCTTCACTGTTTAGCCCTGTAGACAACACAACACTCTTCTTGTGGTCTTTGCAAAGAACATAATCTTCAAAATCTAAACCACCTGCGCACACAACAGAGCTATCTTCCATACGTAGGTAGTTGACTGAGCGTTCGGCAGTACAGCTTTCTCCACCAACAGGACCTATCACCGTCCATCCCAGGCTGTACCTAATTGCTACTGGTTCTCCTTTGCCACCAGCTCGGCATTCTAACGGCAAGAACAAGCTCGGGTTGTCTTTAAGACCAACAATTAACATGACACTTGTGATGTCCAACTGTTGTAACTCAATATCACGCAAATGAGGCCAATTTTCAAGGTCCTCCTTCTTGGCTATACAGCTCTCAGTTATAGGCATATGCTTGACTGTCCTGACGCTTGAAAGTTCCACTGTC